CTATACAAAAGGTTTCTTCAACCAAAAAAGTGGGTCATTTTATTCAACACTTTATCGTTATTACCGTATTATTTTTAATACATAAACCAAGTGCTCTATACTAACAGACACTACAGTGTATATGCCCTCTAGACGTCCGGTGTAAAACGTGGAACCACAAACAAAGCGCCAATTCGCTGAGACGATCCATAAGGATTCAGATGAAGTATGCATGGGCATGTAATTTGGCATCGTGTTCGGACGCAGTAGCACTTGTTCAGGTCTGATTTCTCTTCGTACTTCATAAGCATGGTAGTGCCTGTTGTGCCCAATGGTCTTGAACCTTGTATCGTTTCGGATTTGATGGTATGAACGTTTTATATGTAGTACCTTTCAACGTGCAATAATTTGTACACAGACATTTTTGACAGAACTGAATGTTATCGTTTGAGTTGAGCTATATCTGAAACAATCATTATTTGTTGGGTTGATAATTACATATATATACATATGGCATTGGCCATAGTTAAACTAACCGTTTTTGTTATATTATGTATATGTTAGATTCGTTGAAATATATATATATATATATATATATATATATATATATATATATATATATATATATATATATATATATATATATATATATATATATATATATATATATATATATATATATAGTATATATATATATATATATATATATATATATATATATATATATTATATAAAGAATCTTAAATCAGCCTGTCTTTTGTGTTTGTTTTGACCTGTTCTATTTGTTTAAAATTGACAACCTATTATGAATAGTCAAAACTACCATATGTTAACCAATTTAATTGTTTACATCAGATTCACAGCAAAATAAAAAAAAGTGAGGTTAAAACAACTATAAATAGTAGTTTCTTTAACGAATTAAATTCAGTTGATATTTGTTTGATTACCCAATTTTAACAGTTATCATAACCTGTAGAAATAGATCAATATAACCTGATAAAAAAGGTTGAATAACAACCTCTCTATTCTAGTTAAAACTACTTTGTTTTAAACGTTATTATAATCTTGAAAAAATGGGTCAATGTAACCATTAATTAATGTAGTATTAACCAATAAAAATATAGTTACCACAGATTCAACTTGTGACCTATTATTTTGGGTTGTTTTAACTTATTTGATTTTACAGTGTGTGTTTGATGTTCAACCAGTGGAGTTCGATTAATAGCGGGGTAATGTGACAATATCTGGGCGCTTCAAAAATCAGTCTAGCAGCTGCATTCTGCACGTGTTGCGGCTTGGAAATAAGACAATTTGGTAACTCATATAATAGAGCGTTACAATAGTCCAGGCGAACGCATGCCCAAACGCATGCACTAGAGTTTCCGTAGTTTCTCGACTCAAGTATTTCCTGATTGGAGATTATCTAAAGTGCGAGTTGCGAGTTGCGAGCTGCGAGTTACGCGTATATTGTTAATTTCTATATAATAACATCGGGTTTAATTTTAACCCAGAGTTAACACTAACCTAGCTTTGAAGCACCGAACCAGGTGTTTACACCTGTGGTTTACACTAAAAATTCAAATTGAAACTGTATGGCATCCTGGCGGATGTGATTTTAGCTTTGTCT